GTTCCCGATTGTGCGTTTAAACGCGTTTTTCGAAAGTTTTGTCTGCCTGGGATATCAAAAGAAATTAAGAAATTTCTGACTAAGATGGAGTGACACAATTGAAAATTGCCATACAGATGTACTTTTTCGATAATGAATTTCATTTAATTTTGTTCATCATAGTTCTCTATCTCCATGAAGTCCATTAATATGTCATACTAAAACAATATAATTGCGTTAAAACAACAACGTATGAGTTATTGAATGAAACTTGCACGAGTTTAATTGGAAACAAGCCTAAGGTAGTCACCAAGGAAAGTGAAAAAAATGGTCTTGTTTTGATTATTTTTCCTCTCGACAAGAAACCTCTATCTCATATAATTTTTCAAGATAAGGTATGTGAAACATTTAAGTAGAACAAAGAGCTTGATTGAACGAATACTAATTTCGTATCGAGAAAAAACAAAATTTGATCTCTATCAAGTTGCCTTTCTTGATTGGCATTGTCGCGGAGGCTCTCTCCTAACGACAATCCCCTTATCTCTTTCTTTGTAGTTGAGTTCTTTCTTTTTCATACTCATTCTTTCGAAGAAAAAGCTTTCAACATGGTAAACACTGCCAGATACAGATATGAAATATGACGGCAGCTCCAATGTGGCATCACTCATCCACTTGCTTTTCTCGCTGTATATGTACTGCAACAACACGCATTTCCAAGTGAGATTCAGAAAGTTTTAATTAACTCGCACAGAGGCGTCAACAATATTCAACAACAGAGAGTTACACACAAATATTTACAATGATTTTCGCAACATCCATTATCAACTAAAAAAGACGATCGACGCCGATTATGAAATATACAAATAGTGCATAGCTATCATCGTAATACAGTAACGCCATCATTATCGTCGTCGCCCACTACGTACACAAGATCGGACTCTATCATTTCAAAAGGAAATCATCGCACGCTTTCACATGATATTATTCAAAACTTTCTTCTAATTTGGCTCGATGAAAATATCGACGAATCCGTTGACGACTGTCGTAATTCAATCAAACATCTGCAACGAACTGTCAATACCATCGAAGCATTCAATAGTACAGATGAATGTGTCAATTATATTTCACAACTTCAGAATGAAAAGACATTCCTTATTGTTTCAGGTGCTCTATGCAAAATTGTTGTGCCACGAATTCATCACATGATTCAACTCTATTCAATTTATGTATTTTGTGAGACGCAATCAAAGTACGAAGAATGGGCGAAAGATTGGCCCAAAGTGAAAGGTATTTTCACAGAAATAACCCTGATTTGTAACTCGGTTAGACAATCTGCTCGACATTGCGATGAAGATTTGGTGGTGATTAGCGCTGTATCTTCGTTGAATGAGATTGAACTATCGTTCATGTACACACAATTCTTCAAAGAAATTATTCTTGAAATCAATTTCAACGACAAGAAAGAAATCAATGCTCTAATCGAGTACGCACGTAAGAAGTATGCTGATAACGAAGAACACTTGCAATTGATCGACGAATTCGCTCGAGATTATTGGAGTAATTTGGACGAAAACAATAAAGCCATTTGGTGGTATACTCGAGATTGTTTTACGCATCATATGCTCAACAGAGTTCTGGGCACTCTACAAGTCGAGACTCTCCTCAAAATGGGCATCTTTATTCGAGATCTTTATCGAAACATAGAAAAACTTTATTCTGAGCAATCAAATAGTTCTTATGGTCCAGCAACAACAATTACAGCCTACCGAGGCAAAACCATGACTAAGCAAGACTTTGACAGTAAAATTAAACAAGGTGGGCTGATATCATTCAATAATTTCTTATTAACAAGTGGTGACCGAAATGCCGCCATTCGTTTTATTAAGGAAGGACATGCATTTACAAACATTGAGAATAAAATTGGTGTTCTTTTCACAATGAAAGTTGATCGATCGACTTCATCAGCTGCATTTGTCCGCATCGACAACGTCAGTTATTTACAGGCAGAAAACGAAGTTCTCTTTTCACTGCATACGATTTTTCGTATCGGGAAAACCAAAGAAATCGAAGATAGCGGAATGATGTTGTGGCAAGTCAAACTTACACTCACCAGTGACATTGACAACCAACGTCTCAGTGCTCTTACTAAACGAATGCGAAAGGGAATCAATGGTGTAGAATGGTTGCGAATGGGGTCATTGTTACATAGACTGGGTAAGAATGACAAGGCTGAGCAAATGTACATTATGCTACTTGAACAGACACCTAATGAGAGTGACAGAGGCGCTTGCTATAATAGTCTGGGACTGCTCAAAGATGATCAAGGAGAATACAAAAAGGCGGTTGAGTTTTATAAAAAATCACTTGGTATCTTGGAAAAAACTCTTCATCCGGGCCATCGCTCCTTGGCTACTTCCTACAATAACATTGGATTGGTGCATGATAGCTTGGGTGAGTATTCAGACGCACTTTTATCGCACAAAAAAACACTCAATATCTTCGAAACAACTCTGTTTTCGAACCATCCGTCTTTGGCTACCTCCTACAACAACATTGGTACGGTGTATTATAACATGGGTGAATACTTGAAAGCACTTTCATTTTATAAAAAAGCACTCAATATCTTCGAAAAAACTCTCGTTCCGAACAGTCCTCTGCTGGGTACTTGCTACAACAACATTGGTTCGGTGTATAACAAAATGGGTGAGTACTCGAAAGCACTTTCCTGTTACGAAAAAACACTTGACATCGAGTACAGAGTCTTCTCTCCAACGCATCCGCATATTGCACAATCGAAAAGAAACATTGAACTGATGAAACAGAAATTGTAATTGAATTTTTTTTTCGTGTTACAGCAAATAAACTTCGTTCAACGTTTGCCGATATTGCTTATCAATTTTTTTCCTATGCAACATTTTTATTCATGCGTGCGAGAAAAGAGATAGCCCCAGGCTCTCCTAGAGTGGTAAGTGAGCGAAACTACACTCTAACAAAATAGGTTTATTACTGAATCCTACAAGTTTCGCACTTGCATACGGAACTTTTCTAGGATTTGTAAAAGGCGACAAATTAAATGTTCAGTATTTTATTGTAAATGTTCAGTAAAATTTGTTCAGTATTATATACACATTTTCAGTAAGGAAATCAAACTGTCAGTGTAAAATTTAATGTTCAGTAACTATTACAATTGTTCAGTTAACTAATTGTTTGCTCAGCATTAAAACTAAAGTTTCAGTAATTAATTAAGTTTGCTGTTTCAAAAATACATTTCCTCAGTAAAAAGTAGTATTTTTATCAGTAACCACCTATTTCTTCGATGAAAATATTTTGATGTAAATAGAAGAACATTTGTCCAAATGACTGATGATGACGTCATCAGGCAAAAGATACTTATGTTGCATAGTTTCCGTCGATAATCATGTACATATATTGTCCTACTTATCGATATCATCTTTTCTTGACCTACCTTTTACATTTGATTATATAGTTGTTCAATATTTTAAGTTATATATAGGCTGGTAGCAGCTCACAGTTTTTATTCCAGTTGTGAAAAAAAACTGATTAACACACCCAGTTCGGTAGAAAAAGCTGATTTAAATATCCAGTTCTTTTCAAAAAAACTGGTGACTAGTTCGAGTTCTTTTCAAATCAGCTGGTGACT